CCATGGTCGCGTCGTCCCCACTTTCCGGCCGAGGGAAAAAATATCTCAACGCTGCTGCGAGGTCCCATAAGGCTGCCACTCTTTAGTAATTTCTCCTCGGTGACAATACTAACGTAACATTCCACGATATCTTAACAAAATGCATAGACCAAATTGTACTATACGATTTATATTGTACATGCTTTGAAATTGAATATTTATCAGAAAGAATTTCCTGAGTACGCAGGCATGATAGAAAGTCGTTTCAACAAAGGTATGGTACGAAAGGAGTTGTTAGACGAAGGCGATAAATTTTTCCGCGGTCGCTTCAGTAGATATCATGATTTCTTACCATACAATTGTGTTCAAAAATATTAAGCTACCTCACTAACACGGATTTAATGACTTTGAAAGAAATAAATGTTGATACCGATTATTTGAAAGAAATAAATGTTCTAACACAAGCAATGTAACAAAACAAGAAACATTGTAATACTTACCACTTACTTTTGTACTTGTTCATTAATATTTTTATACTAATAAATAGTTATTTTGTGTTTTATTTACGATAGTTTTTATCTTTCCTTTTCATCCTCTAGCTTCATTTCACAGCTGTTCTCCATTTTACGCAGTTCTCCATGGTATCAATTATTTCTACTGACTGAAAATATTCTATTTTATGCTACACGCGCTCGTATTCGTCAGTGTTTTTCAAAAACTATGGCTCACTTTGCATTTTGGTAAAGGAAGTTGTAGAAACACAGAATCACCTCTCGTCGGTTCTAACACTTTTTCTGGGACACCCTGTATAATCAATCACATCATACTTAAATGAATGGTTTTGATCTCTCTCCACTTTTACTTTCTTATAATGTATTTCGTATGAGAATTAGAATTGTATCGGAATAATTCCAACATTTCGACAGATTTTATTTGGATGTTTGCAAGGATAGAGAATATCTAGCTTATGCTTATAAATATTATTTATTTTAACGATATACAGGCTAAGATCGTAGAAAAGCAAATTGTGCATTAAAACGCTGCATCTTTTTAAATAAATGTTTCTTTCTGCAACATTTTTCAAAATAGTAAGGATAGACCAATAGCAGGTGTTTTAAATAGCATAAACATCACGCAGCCAATTATTAGGGCCTACATTTTTTCTTTTTACGTGCTCTACTTTTATTGTGCTTTTTGCGGAAGTGTATGCCCGCACACCAACGATCGTAAATCAACATTCACCCATTTCTAATTGGTTTACGAGATTCTCCCCCTGCTGCTTTATCAAAAATAATCATCGAGATTTGATTACTGGACGAAGAACATTCTTCATGCGTTAAGCAAAACAATTATAGTAAATGCCCCAATTTCTGTTCACGTTACAATTTTTACTCACTAGTTTAGGATCGTAATTATAAAAAAAAAGACAGTGAGTAGAAATTGTGGTGTAAACAAAAATTGGGACATTTACTATGTACGCAGTGCGAATATATAAATATTTTTGTGTTAGAAAGTATCTCACTATATGTGATTAGGATTGATCGATGTCGGTGCGGCTGACGCTAATATCTATCTTTCTTTATTGTCGGACCATAATCTCGTAATCGGCGTATGCAATCTCGGCACCGCCATACGGTATGTAGCAAACGCTGTGCGAGGGTTGGATCTTGCCGATCGTCAAGGTGCCTTCATGATGCACGCGGCCGACGAAGAGCGACTCTCCATCCTCCGTTTCACCGGCCGGAATCGCGTTGGAAGGAATGTTGTTTCCGCTCGTTGGCACCCAGGCAGGAGTACAACCACAGAGAACCTAATTAAGAAAAACATAATTTATATAATGCTTATAAGAACTAGGAAAAATTAAATGATCTTCGATCACTGGTACCTCGTATTCAGACTTCGCGTGCTCGCCACCACCCCAAGCTACATAGCAGACTGAGTGCCCTGGTTTCACTTTGCCAGGCAACATAGCACCTTCGTGATTCGCTCGGCCCACATACAACGGCTCGCCACCATCATTCCCGCCCTCGACTGCTGATGGAGGAATTATTCCGTCGGATACTTGGCACCAGCAGAACTCTCCAATGTCCCGCACTCCTTCCACGGGTGGAGCAGATGCGTTCGTGTCTAAAAAGAGATGGCAATGTTAAGCAGATGTTTCGAAATCGTTTCTTTCAGGCGACTTGCAGGCGAGCTACAAACATTTTTCCATGCTTCACATATTGATACAAGCTAAATGTCCCAATTTCTATTTGTTCACTTATTTTTCTAACATATAAAATAACTAGAGAAGAAAGTGTTTTTCATATGATTAAACATTCTCATACACGATTCCATTATGTAATACACGTTGTAAATCGCAATTGACCTGTAAAAACTGATAAAATATAGAAAATTGTTAGATTTTCGGTGTTTCATGCTACTCAGCTTATCGTTAGTCAGAGTCATGGAGACTTTCTGATTGAGTAGAAACATAAACATGAGTGAATGAAGTAGAAATACGTATATTTGAGGTGTAAAGTATATTTATGTATATTACAGAAAAAATTGCTTGTAAATGAGTTCTTGCCAGATTCATCTTATCTAAGTAAAAATTGGGACATTTACCAATGTTAATTTAATTGAAAAACACTTGAATATAATACATGTATGCAAATGATAGTATGAAGGTTTAAGGAATCATGTGTCGCATAGCATGACGCAATAATCTCGGCAGAGTTATAGTTTCGTGTAACACACGACTTTTTTACAGTTACGCATGATCGTAAGGTAGCTTCTTGGCAAGCAATTATAAGCTCTGAACCCTCAGAAAGTCGGTGAAACGACGAATGGAATTACGAAAATAGGTTTTTTAGTCATAAAAAAAACCTGCCCCTTTTGATATCGATCACCAAGCTCGATAACTTCGACTCGAAACGAAGAAGAAACAAAAAAAAATTCAACAAGCAAATTACTTTGAAAACTGGGAGTTCGATTGGACGGGAAGAGTACGTTTTGAAGTTTCCATTTGCCGGTCGCGCCCCAACCAGTGCGCACGCCCACGTAGCTCACGCCGATCGGCTTAGGATCCTGCCAATCCATGATCGTGGAACCGTTAAGACCGCCGGCCCTGACCGTGATGTGGCCATCGAGCCAGCAGATCGCAAACTTCCTCGTTTCGTTTTCGCTCAACAGATTCGGCGTGTCCACGCGCACCTGTCAGAATCACATCTTCATAAACCCGAACGAGACGATCCTTCGTCTTCCCGAAACACGACTCTCGTTTCCTTTAATTCTTTCTTCATTGTATTTATTAAGGTAGTTTTTCCCATACAATATTAATCGGAATGAGGTATAAAAATAAACAGCTATAAATACAAGACCTTTTCTGAAATGGAGATATAAGTTCATATACATATTAAGAACAGAGTCAAGAAAGCAGACGTGGTCGTGGATCAGGTATGGGCAGAGAATTTTACTTTATAGAGTGGAGCTATTTGGATGGTTTGAAGTAAGAGAAATACAAGTAAAATATATTAGATGGTGTTTGGAATTAAAAGGAAGTACGTAATGCATTGCAAGAAACTAATACGGACATGGATGAAGGATGTTAACTCTTAAGGAATAAATGGAGTAAGAAATTGAGTAACAATCTATTGAAGGCAAACCTACGAGAAAAGATGGAAGAGCTTGAAGAAGCAAGAGGTGGGAAAGAGAGGCTAGAGTACATGAGAAGTAAATAAACACATTATATGGTATACAATACCGGACAGGGGCGGAGGACACTAAGCGGCCGCGTGGGGTCCTGGGTAGCCAAGGGGTCCCGGAGGAGCCCGGAGGTCTAAAAATATCTTCATTGAAGATTTTAGAAATGACCGAAAAGGTTCAAAGAACGCTCCGTAAAATAATCAAACAAATCTAAAAACAAAATGTTAAATTTATGACCTCTAAATTGTACTTTTTAACTGATTATTTCAGTAAATGTTTAATAGTGACGCGAAATAGAACAACATACTTTAATAATATTTTTTGTACAAGTAAGTTTTCAGAGTTTTGCTAATAACGGAATAAAAATTAAGAGGCTCTCAAAATGTTTAAATTAAAAAGTTTTCTAATCAATAATCCAAGGAAAGATAAGTT